TACTTGGTTAGGTGATTGTTCACAACTCTTTCCATTACTTTTGATATCACCGGAAGTAGAGCAATTGGTCTATAGTTTAACGGATCTGTCTTTTTTCCTTTCTTTGGAATGGGTTGTACTGCGGCAGACTTCCATGATGATGGATATACTCCTTGCCTGTAAGACAAATTGAATAATTTTGCGAAAGTTGGGGTGAGTTCGTTGGCGCAATTTTTGAGTACTATTGCGGGAATGCCATCCGGACCCATTGCTTTGTTTGTATCCAGCTTTTTTAGGGATTTTCGTATTTCTCTGTGACAAAAGGGTACCTCTGGCATACTATGGGAAACCCTTTCAATGAACGGTGGAGTTTTTCCGTTTGGCACTGTTAGGTTGGAGTTGGAGGAAAACATTTGGGCAAGCATATTGGCTTTTTCCTCTGATGTTGTGGCTAAGTGATTATTTTTATCTGTAAGTGGTGGTATGGATGACTTGGTGAAGTTAGATCCAACAGCTTTTGCAAGAGACCAAAAAGACCTAGAACTACTTGGACAATTCAGCAACCTGTTTTTTATTCTTTGATTGTATGTTTCTTTAGCGGAGTCAATAGTAATTTTGCAACTATTTCTGGCTTCTATAAATTCTGTGTGGTTTTGAGCGGTTTGTTGTCGTTTCCAAAGGTTATATGCTCTGTGTTTTTTCTGTACAGCCGTTTGACACTGGCTGTTGAACCAAGGTTTAGCATTAGCTCTACGTTTAGTTGTATGTGGGATATATGCGTCCATTCCAGATAAGATTACTTGTGTTATTTCATTACAGCAAATAGTGGGATCAGCTGTTTTAAAGCAAACCTCTTGCCATGGAAAATCCAGGTAATACTGTTTTAGGTCATTCCATTTTGCCGATTTATAGTGCCACATTTTACGAGGAAGTGGTTGTAGGCTTGGTGGGATGAGCATTTCGCACTTTGTTATTATAAGTTTATGATCGGATGAACCAAGTGGAGCATCTACTTGAATTGTGTACGAGTCAGGATTGGTGGTTAGGAACAAGTCTAAAAGCGCTGCAAATTCGCCCCTTTCTGAGATACGGGTAGGTTCATCGACAAGCTGCGTTAGACCACAACTTATGGCAAAAGCTTCTGCTTCTCTGCCTTCGTTATCTGTTTTGTTGTGGTGTTTCAGCCAGGGTATATTATGGACGTTGAAATCGCCTAAAAAGACAATTTCCGCCTGTGCATAGTTTGACTGTATACTATCACAGCTTTCGGATAATGTCGCGAAAAAGTTTTGGTAATCGGTGTTACTTGGCGGTCGGTAGAGGCAGCAGATAAACTTGGTCGATGACTTTGAGGTGAATTTTAGCCATATGATATCAAGGTTCGCTGGTTCTAGCTTCTCCTCTCGATGACATGAAAGGTCATTTTTAATGTACACACAGATCCCAAAATTATGTCGAAATCGGTGGTGTAGGTCATAGCCGGGATAAAGATAGTTCACAATAGGTGTTGCAGAACTGATTTTAGTTTCAGTGAGAACAAGGATGTCAGGTCTTTGTTCTTCAAGATGTTGGTGAACTGAATTCATATTTGTACTTATTCCTCTTATATTGCTAAAATCAATTCTGAGTTGAGTTTTTGATCTTTTTATATCTTTGCATGAAGGACCCCCAGGATCACCCGACGCCCGGAGATCCGAGTGGTCGGGTATTTTACCTCCGGAATATTTTGATCCTGGAGGCGCCATCATGCTATCTGTTACTCATTGTTGGAACCGGACTGCCAGCGCAGTAGCGGAACGTGGTGATGCCACTTAGCGCTACTCAATTCTGGCATGGTGGTATCTCACCGGTCGACGCCCAATGAGTAAAAAGCGTCTACCACCTACCAAATTGGATTTAATATTGAAATGTGCAGTGAACGGGGCGATCAGGCGACGCGGTGGACGCTGTGATTCCAGCGTTGCCGGTTGCGTTTGTTTTGCTGGCGCATTTGGCCACTAATTTTTTAAATTAATACTTTACAGGTAGAATGTTAAAATTTGAAGAATGATAAAATTAAATTTAAAGTTGTTTGATATTAATTTGGGAGTGCACGTGCACATGTGCTCTTATGGAGGAACCGCCACTGGACTATTTCCTATGTTTTTGTTGTGGTTTGTTTTTGTTTTTAAATGTTTTTGGTTTTCGAAATAGATTCTAAATTCCCTCAAAAGATCGAGAAATCGTTTCACGGATGAGGACAATATTTTTTATTATATTATGTACAATCGAGTGTTCCATACTGAAAATCTCGCACTATTTTTTATAATTCTGGCCACATCATTTTTTAAGTACAAGCCCTGATGGAGCCCTAAACTTTTGGGCGAAACTTGGTAAAGACTCAACAGGCGTTCTATTTTTTGTCCTAACCTACGAATCACCCCTCTTCATTGGATACCAATAGGACACGAACTTCTCTTAAGCATTTATTATTTCATTAGAAGAAATATTGGCCAACAACCCCTCCTATGACGATGCATCTAAATAGGCTTTTGTAGTAGCCAATTTTGTAAAGCCTACAGGGAAAATTAATGAATTTTGGGTACTAAGAAATTAAAACAAAGTACAAAACGTATATTAACACAATGATAAACACAAACCATTAAAGAAAGGTTATGTTTGTCGAATTCGACTTAACGTTAACGTTAAGCGGATTGAACGAAAACTATTTTTTTCTATTTTGGTGTCATATCGAAGTCTTTTCGACACTAAAAGTAGTTTCGAAAAGAAGCTCTTTGTGACACTCCTTTTTTACTCATCGGAGGTTGGTAACACTGGCTGACTGATGGCCATCGAACTGTCATTCGCGATAAAAAATAATAGAAGATTTCTATATTTGGCATGTATGGTTGCCAACCTAAACATATGAAATCAGGAAATATGAGAATAAAATTTCCAAGAAAAGTTTGTTTTTTTCAATTAAACAATACCAAAATAGAAAAAATAGTATAAAATATTCGTTTCATAAGACATTTTATCGCACTCGCCCTTTAGAAAACTCGCCTCCGGCTCGTTTTCTAATATAGGGCTCGTGCGATAAAATGACGTCTTATGAAACTTGTATTTTAATGTACTATTACGATCTGTCAAATAGCGGCTTTGTTTTCGTATCCGTTATGGTTAACCGTTCGAATTTGCCAATACAACGAAAACTCTCTAATGTCAACTCACTCACAAGTAAACACAAGGAACGATGACTGATGACACAAGAAATTAATGATGATCAGTGCGCACTAGGTGTATCCGCATCTTTTTCTAAAAGCATGTAACATTTAAGGATGAGGCTACATTTTTTTGCACTGGTTCGACAAATGGAAAACGCTATTAGGGTTAGGCATATGGGTGCCAACAGTCGGCCATATTTGACACATCGTTGGATTGCCTAAAGCCTAGTCTCCATAGACGCGAAATCGCGGAAAGCGAATTTTTTAAGTGTCATTTTTTGGTGGCTATTTCCGAGCAAATTATTCCCATGTCTCCATAAGCGCGAAATTCGCGTTTTATTTAACAGGTTAAGGTTACCTATGTGTTGTTGTTCGTAATCAATTTCAATTTGAATTCGATTTAAATGCTTTGAATTTCAAACACTAATCTTTGAAAACCATGAAAGTGATTACTAAAAAACAAAAAAAGATATGTGTCTTGGTGTTGTCTTAATTACATTTAAGGCCCTATTATAATCTTCCTCATCAACCAGCAAGCTGTAATTTATGTCTGTTTTCGGGTCTACAATATTCAATTCTTTGGCAGTATCCATTCTTTATTAGGTATCTTGGTATCTACAAGTACAAAACACATCAACGACTCACAGAGAACAGAGCACATACCGACAAAAACATAAACAAAACTAAACTGAAAGTAACACCACATAACCTCATTTTTTTTTGGCGAAATTTCGCGGAAAGTTAAAAAATAGTTAACTTTTATGCGACGCCGCAAGAAGTTAAAAAATTCGCGAATTTTTCCCGCCATAAAAAAATCAAATGTTAAATGTCAAATTCCAACCAATCGGAAAATATCCGCAAAAAAAAATTCGCGATTTCGCGTCCATGGAGACTAGGCTTAATAGTGCTCATTCATATAACCTTGCGTTCGGTATTTTGCTCGAAGAGCAGAGCGTGCAGAGCGGAGCCGTAACCACGTGACCAGCGAGCGAACAGAGCAGTTGAACGCTGTATAAAAGTGCCAGAAATTTTAATAAACGAACGCGAATGAGGATACACCGAGTACACTTTTTGAATAAACGAACGGTAAAGTCAAGCTCGGAGAACTCAGACCAAAATAACGAACGCACGGTAAGTTGTATTCCATTCAAGAGCTTGAAACACATGAGCTACTCGCTCCGGTGTTTGGTCGCCCTCGATTTGCAGGGAACAGATGCGTGGTGCAACAAACACTTTTCGAAAGGAATAAGCGCGTGAAGCTCCGGAGCTGTTCCGGAGCTCCTCCTAGGTGTGAAAGGAATACAACTATAGATGAAGTACGTAAAAAAAAAGTATCAAAAAATCTCCAACCGAAAATCGACAAAAATTCCTGGTGGATCCGGTGCCTCACCGGTTTAAAGCCTAGTACTCATAACTGCGAAATTCGCATTTTTTTGACATCGCTTCGACAATTTGACGTTTGATACACGCATAAAACGTCAAATTGTTAACGCAATGTCAAAAAAATGCGAATTTCGCAGTTATGAGTACTAGGCTTAAAACAGCAGATCATTCCGGTCAATTTTGGAACGGACGATCAGGTTCAACTGGTCGGTACATTTTGGAACGGTTTGGTGAGTAAACTATTGAACCGGTATCGCACCGGTTCAGAAACCAGTGAATTTTGGAAAGTGCCCACTATCGAATCGTGTGTTCGGAATCCGGTCTAGTACGTTCTGATTTAATCAGTACCAAAGTCATCTGAAATCGCCCATAAGTCGCGGTCGGTCGTGAGCTCAAGGTGGTGCGTGCGCAGTGCGCTCTATCCGCCATTGCTTGCTAATCGCCATATTTGTTTATGAAAACGTAAATGTGCGTCCTCTCTAGAAAAAAAATAATAGTTAAAATCACATTTTTACCATATTCTGTCTGTGAGATTTTTACCCATCCAGGAAAGAATAAGGATGTCTGACCAGGAAAGTACAGAAGCTGTACCCGCCGGTAAGAACTTTTACTTCTATGTACTTGCAATGCAATTTGTTAGGATTCCTTATTTATGATTATCAATTAAATGATATGCAACATAAAATTTTGGCCTAATCAATCATATAGGATAAATTATCCTTTAAAATAAATTATTCAAAAGCTCCAAAAAGTGAGTGTTTGGAAATGGGCCAGTTTTTTTGGTTCTTCACAAAATAGGTGCCTAGGGTTTCTATATGGCAAACCACCTCTGCCTACACGCTACCCTAGACCTGAATGAATTTTGTTTCTAGTTCTAACAAGAGTTCAAATTCTCAAGCTATAATTGGAATTGTACATTTAGTATTATTTTATTTATTTATTATCATTAGTGGTAGTACCTACACAACAACATAGACATAATATATTCCCAACAAATAGGTAAAGGTAATCTTATTCCTATTACTAGATATTTGGCACTCAATGATATTTACACATAAAGTATTGTGCGGGGTATTGTGTGTGCAGTGTGCAGCCATATCGCCCATATCTATGCCTATGCAAGTTTGTCTTAGGTATAAGAATTAACAGTTTGTATCAGGAGCTCTGTTCCAACCGACATGAGAACAGTTCTAGAACAGTACTTAATTTCCAGTCGATCATTTCATTTGTCAAGTTGGACGAAAGTTCAACTTATTTAAAAATAGTTGGACAATTGGAAATTATTGGTTCTGGAATGGTTCTCATGTCGGTTGAAACAGCACTAGGGTTGGCAAAAACCCAGGTTTTTGAAAATTTCTATTGGGTTTTAGGGTTTTTGCGGCTCATTGTTATAGTTTTTGTAGGGTTTTTGTGTTTACTCAACTCTCAGACAAAATTGTGTATTTGTCTCAACAGAAGCTTCAAAATTGAATGTATTGAACATTAAAAATTTTCCAAAAATTACACTGAGACATTTTTTGCCTCACAGCTCCTTTAATTTTCATCTGATTTCAACGCAGTTAGACTCTTATTAAAGCCAAATAAGCCTGAGAAGCTTCAAAATTGAATTTATCAAATATTGAAAATTTTCCAAAAATGACATTGAGACAGTTTTGGCCTCACAGCTCCTTTAATTTTCATCCAATTTCCATGCAGTTATACCACAGCATATACAAAAACAATTAGCAGGCTAACTCGAGTGACAGCTCGTTTAATAAAGGAATTCATGGTCGGGACGTCACTAGCGGCCATTTTGGGATACGAGACAGGGCCCGATTAACAATAATTTAGGTTTTTTCTTTCGTGTCACAGAGTCGTATTGGCTTTAAATAAACTAATGTATTATTACTTACATAACATATAATAATTTTTCTATGGTGAGTGGGCTAAAGAGTACAAGTCAAAATTAGCCATATCAAGAAAAATGCTTTCGAAATATTAGACTTTAAAATAATCGGATTTTTTGTGGCTGTTTCGGACGAATTGAATTTTTAACTTTACAAAGGTGTTTTTTTATTAGAGATAATCTATTTTTTTATTTTTTTTTTTGTTCTGTTTTTTTTTTATTACAAAAAAAAATGGACTTATACTCTTTTGACCAGACCTATAGATGACATATATTATTATGAAATAAGATAATATGACTTATAATATCTTGACCTGACCTAAGAAATGACTTATACTAGTTTTGCTCAACCCAAAATTTGATATTAGCAAAAACTGGAAAAGAAGGCCAACTCTTTTTCACAAAACACTTTTTTTTTGCTGATAACATAACCTCTTTGGTCACCAAATGGTACTAAGAGTATAAGTCGACCGACAAAATCAGGATAGGAATAGTATAAGTCTACTTGTACTATTTGAATTTTATTAATAGTGTATAATCTAAATAGTAAAATTCAACTTATACTGATATGCCCAACAGAATAAAATTCCTTTTAAGTTAAACTATGTGGATTGAAATTAAAAGTAAAGTATTTCAAATAAATTGACTGATACTGTTTGGACCAGTCGATGTAGGAACCGAAAATATATACCAAAATGACTTAAACTCATTTTCGCAAAATTTTGACTTGTACTCTGCCGCTTCTCGAGCGTGATAGGACATTTCCTTGCGAGTGCGCATATCCGTAAAAAAAAGTACTTGTTAGCTCACCCACCATAGATTTATAATTACTAATTTATTATTATTTTTGAATATACAAGAATGGAAACAAATAATACCATAAATGACAACACGAATACCGGGTGATTCTCAGATGACGCTCGTCCCTGTTTTCTTTTTATTTTTTAAGATTTTCATCACATATTTTGGTAGAAGGTATAAGTCATTGGTGTGCATTGTTTCACATATTAAGTACCTTACTGATACTTCCGGTTTCACCGGAAACGACCCTAATTTTGAAAATTTAAATGGAACACTCAGTATATTTTTAGATATTTAAATTCGTGTCTTCATTAGAAATATGGGAATGTATATTGATATAATTTTCTGACATTTCTGAAACCGCAATTACCAATTGACACTTTTCATCTAGCGTGCCGAAAAAATATAGTTCCTAACTCTTGCGGGAAGAAATTTCCGGCACTCGGGCGCTTCGCACCCTCGTGCCGGAAATTTCTCTTCCCGCACTCTTTAGGAAAATAGCTATTAATTTTTTCTCTTTCACAGAAAAAAAAACGCTAAAATACGAAATTAGTCTGACAACTTGTGTCAAATTTCATAAAAGAAGGTGCTTAACATCATTTAAGGTAATCATCTTGTATTACGAGGGTGATTTCAAAGATTTTATTCCAAAAAATTGAAGTTAAGAATCTAGCAGAAGTTTAACATGAAAGGAGACTTTATTGTGTAGAATCAATCTTTTAGTCGGAAAAAAATTGTTTAGTTGATTCTGTGAGCCACTACCCTTTCTGTGAGAAAAAATCAACGTTTAAGCATTCAAAAATGTCCAATGGCTGTAGAAGTTGCATTTTGCTATAATGAAAACAAATAATAATTTCAACAGTTATTTGACTCCAAAACCTACCACCATATTAGTTAGGTTAGGAAAAATCGAGCGCGAAATTTGACACATTTCAATAAATTTGACAGCAATGTATTTCTTATGCGGGATTCGAAAGAGAAATTTTCAGACGGGAATATCTCGGGTTCTGGGCATTTCTTAGTATTTGAACCTATTATAGGTCAAACTTTGAACATATTTCTCTACAATTCATGCTCTCATTGTTTTTTTCGACCTATTAGGCAATTCAATCCATTTGTCAAAAAGGAAAATTCGATATGGCGTGGCGGCCAAGCAAGTCCGTTTTGAATATGTTTTTAGGCGTATTTTAAATAATTTTGCTTAGAGTTTTGCTTGCAACTTTGATTTTGTTTATTTAATAAAATATTTGTTGATAGGTACAGTCGCGGCCATTGGAATTAGGCAATCTCAATCATGTGATTTTCTAATGGCCGTTCGGGTCAAATATTGCGGTGACAAGCCGGTGACGTTTAACGTTTATAAGGAGAGTATTTGTGTTCTGGCCCTTGCTGCTTTCGAAGTGAATTTTATGTGTTTCTACGTATTTTTCATTGGTTTTGGTCATTGTTGTTTTCATAGTGAATTGTGAATTTTATAGTTTTTAGTATTTCTACGTATTTCTTAGTGTTCTGGCTCTTGGTGTTTTCAAAGTGAATTTTATAGTGTTTCTACTGTTTCTACGTATATTTTAAAGTATTTTACATTATTAGCCAGGTAAAACAGTTTTTACTGGTGATTGAAGGAAATGACTAGCGAGCCGTCAGGCGAGCTTGTCACCTTCAAGAGCCAGTAAAAACTGATACCTGGCGTATGATGTACAATAATTTATTTGTTACTCATTTGTAAACAATCTTAAACAATTAATAAAAAATTAATACATATAGGTAATACAATTTTAATAAATAATTCTCTGACCCTACTGACTTGTAAAAAGTTTTTACAGTTTAGCTGTCAATTTTACAAGTCAGTAGAGCCAGTAACTGGTAAAAATCAATTTTCGTTGTTTATGTTTTGACTTGTTAAATGACGTTTTACAAATGAGTGACAAATAAATTTATTAATAAATTCTGAGATGGAGAGTGAATATCTTAAGGTATTATTATTAAGGAAAAATCGAGCTTTTAGTTGCAGCAATCCATAAAGCCCTGCCTTGTTTTGATAATTCATATTTGTAGATCAAAAGCCAATGAATTAAAATAGCAGGAACTTGATAAAATTTCACATTATCCCTGTTATCTCGACTTCCACACCCAATTACGATGCAAATCGCTGGCATTTTAATTAACACAATACCTAAACACACAAAAAAACACTGAATCCGATAATTCAAATCTAGACGTTTGTCCAGAATGTGACAGAATCAATGACATACAGAATAAACAACACAGTGCTTGACCCAATGCTTGACCCGAACTTCCATATAGTTGGGGAGCTGGCGTCAAAAACATGCAAGAGTTTTCGCAAGGCGGATATTTTCAAAATAGGTCGTACTTTAGTGCTAGAATGCTAGTGTACAGTCAGCAGTCACAGTTCCAGGACAGCTGGCTCTGGGACGCGGGCAAAGTTGTAATTTTAAGAAGCATCTAAACTGTTTTCTCAAAGCTCAAAATTTATAGAAATTTTGCACATTATCTGTTTGAAGGTCACATATAACGTATGTAAATCGTCAGACGTCTAGTTCGTTGCAAAAAGGGGGTCAGACGTCCTCAAAGTTCTTATTTTATGGCATTTTCTTCAAATATATTTGTCAAATACCTGCAAAAATATATTTTGACAGGACACCGAAGAAAATGTCATAAAATAAGAACTTTGAGGACGTCTGACCCCCTTTTTGCAACGAACTAGACGTCTGACGATTTACATACGTTATCTGTGACCTTCAAATAGATAATGTGCAAAATTTCTATAAATTTTGAGCTTTGAGAAAACAGTTTAGATGCTTCTTAAAATTACAACTTTGCCCGCGTCCCAGAGCCAGCTGTCCCGGAACTGTGACTGCTGACTGTACACTAGCATTCTAGCACTAAAGTA